CTTTGGGAATGTGTCTTCTAACATTAAGGAGACCATTCTTGAGTGTCTCCCGTTCAAGCAAGGTATGTTTCCTGTTCGTTACTTGGGTGTCCCTTATCTCAAGCTAGGTTGAAGATTGTTGACTATGGTCCTTTGATAGCTAGGGTTAAAGGTCGTATTTTTAATTGAAAGTCTAAGTTCTTTTCTTTTGGGGGATGAAGACAACTCATTATTTCGGTCCTTCAATCTATTCAGCTTCATTGGATGTMTGTGTTCTTATTTCCGTCTGGGATTGCCCATGATCTTGAATCTATTTTCCGGAAATTCCTTTGGGCTCCAAGGGAGGATCCGCGAGGTAAGTGCAGGTTATCTTGGGATTTGGTGTGTAGGCCCATTAAGTCAGGAGGTCTTCGTATTAGGCGTGTTGCCACATGGAATAGGGCTTTACTTGCGAAACATGTTTGGGATATTCTCAGACATCGTGATTCTTTGTGGGTTCAATGGGTTTATTGTCACATTCTTCGTTCTTCTCATTTCTGGCTAGTTGGAAGAGCTCCAATTGGTCTTGGATTTTTCGTAAGTTGTTGGACCTTAGAGATCATTTGCGACGTTTTCTTTTCTCCAAGATTGGTAATGGTCGGGATACAAATGCTTGGGAGGACTTTTGGCTGGCTAGTGGACATCTTTCGGCCTTCTTATCCTATCGGTTTATACATTCTTGTGGGTTCTCGACTGGCACTTCGGTTAGAGAATTGCTTATTAGTATCGATGGGGTATGGCCGAAAGAGTGGTGTAACAAGATTACTACACTCCGTTCTTATACTGTCCCATCTTTAAATGATGCTGTTTGTGATGAAGTTCTGTGGGGGGCTGACTGCATTTCTAGGTCTCTGTTTTCAGTTCGTACTGCTTGGGAATCTTTAGATGGGACTCATCCGATTGTTCCGTGGTATAAATCGATATGGTTCTCGGGTCATATTCCTAAGCATGCTTTCTGTTTATGGCTTGCCTGTCAGAGACGTCTCCCTACTCAAGACCGCCTAATTTGGAAGGATGAACCCCCGGATTTGAAGTGTCCGTTATGTGGTAATAACCATGCTCATTTATTCTTCCAATGTGTTTTTACTCGGGAGGTTTGGGAAAGTATGTTGCTTCTTGTGGACTTGAGGACTATGCCGTCGTCTTGGGATCAAATTGTGGATTTTCTTTCGGATCGTGCTCGTCGACCTAAGTGTTTAAAGCAGAGGCTAATGGTTGCAGCTTCTGTTTATTATATTTGGCAAGAAAGAAATAGAAGACTTTTTTCTGAAGTTAGCCGTACAACTGTGCAACTCATCACAATTATCAATAATACGATTTCTATGCGTGCGGCTTGGGTGGATAGAAGTCAGGCGCCTGGTGTTGCTGTGCTATGATGGTTTTTTGGTGGTTTTGTGGAGCTTGTATGTTTGCTAAGCTCCTTTTCTTTATTTTTTGTTGTTTGGTTGGTTCTGTTGGGCTCTGTTCCTTTTGGCTTTTGGTGGCTTGGTATACTTTGGTGGTAAGGTCTTTTGGTTTTCTTGTTGTTTAGGTGGTGGTCATACGGTTTTGTCTTTGCTGTAATCCCCTTTTTTTTATTGTTTATAAAATTGTCTGGTTTCCGTTCAAAAAAAACATGGAATGGACCTGGATTGACCGATGTTGACTTTTTCTCTCTAGGGTTTTGCGCTTGTTGTTGACGATGAGAGTTGGAGCATGATCTGCTGCTTTACGCTGTTTGGCTGTTAAGATTGGGTGTCGGTTGTAACATGATCTGCTACTTTTTGCTTCTTTGCGTTTTCTGACCATTCATTCTTCTAGTGGGTTTTGTCTCGGTTTAGGTGCCTTTGCATGAATGAACAGTTTTCGCTTGTGCTGTTCGTCTGTCAGGTTAGTTCGACGTTTTACTGGCTGTTTTTAGTTTGATCGGTGCTCTGTTTGGTTTCCAGTCTCTGGCCGTCGGCGCTAGGGTTTTTTTCTTCCTGTTTCGTTTGGAGCGTACTCATTGGGCTGGCTCGATTCTTTTTGTTTAACGCATTCAAAGTTGGTTTTTTTCCGATCTGGTTTATTGTTCTGTGAGTTTTGTTTGTGGTGATTTCTGGGTTGGTGTTTTGAGTTCTAAACGGCTAGGGTTTCTAAGGCGTGGTTTTTTTGCTGAGTTCTTCGTTATATATGCGCTTGTTTTCTGCTGTTTAAGACGATCTGTGTGGTTTCTACCTGTTCTGGTGATCATTACGTTGGTTTTGGTTGCTGTGAGGGTACTTCTTTGGTCTCGTTGCTCTGTTTTTTTATAAAGGTTTTGCTGTTGTCCCTTGCATTTGGTTCTGGGTGTGATTTTATGTGACAACCTTCTGCTCCTACTGCTGTGTTTTTTTAAAGAGCTGTTTGTTCACTGTTTTGATCTGGCGCTGCTTCATGTCTGCTAATAGCATCAGCATCAGGGTTCAAACTTCCATCTTGATATTCAGGTTTGGTTCTTAGCTGCTGTTTATGGGATCTTTGGTACTGTTTGGGTTGTATTGAGGCTGGTTTTGGGGCTGTCGTTTTTTGGACTCGGCTCCTGCTTGGCGTTGATCTGCATCGTCTATTTAGTTGCTGTTTCACGATCTTAACAGCGGCTCTTTTTCGTCTGTTTGGTTTTGTGTTGCTACTGGTTAGTTCTGGATCATCGTTTTGCTGGGGTTTTCGTGATCGGCTCTGTTGGTTGTTTTTGGGCTGTTTTGCGTATGCTTTTATGTATGCTGCTCCTCTCTAAAGCTACTATTTTGGGCCTGTGTTGTAGCTGCTGTTCGGTTTTTAGTTTCTTTGGCTGCTGTGACGTATTGAGTGGGGTTTTGCTGTTTGAGTCCGTACCTTGCTGTTTGTTTTTACTTAGCTGATATCCCGTGTTTTCTGGTTGTTTGCTGCTGCCTTTTGCTACTGCGAATCTTGGTCACACCTTCTCATTTTCTATTTCTTACGTTCACTCTAAGTGTTTCCTTGGTCTTCGTCATTTTTGTAGTATGGTTGATGTCAGCTACTCTCTTCCTGCTTTACCTTCTAGAGAGCCCAGTACATAGTCTAATGGCATGGGCACTCGAAGGAAAGGTATAAAGATTTTCCATTGTCCTAGGGATTCGTATTTCCCATTGTCCTTATGGATGAGGGAATTGAGTTGCGAAAGATGAGGGAATCTACTTGAGTCCCCCTAAAGCAGGGTATTATTCCTATTTCCCCCTTGATAAATATTCAGCACCCTAGTTTTCTAGGGTCTTCGTCTATTCTATTAAGGGCGCTATACAAAAATTTCAGCACTTAGGCTTCTTAGAGTGTTCCATGGAAATTGGTGATGGTTCGGTTTAGCCTTCTGATCCTTCCCGTATCTTGGTTTTTGAACGGCTTTCACATCTTGATAATGATGTTGCGGATAATATGCCTTTGGGTTCGGAGAATCTAGTCAGAGAAAAGTTAAATTTTGCCAAAGCTGTGGGACAAACGAGTGACACAAATTTAAATTTCTACCCTTTAGCTGATAAGAAGCAAGTGAGTGTGAAAATACCTATTGAAATGGCTATGGAAGCCGCTAAAGCATATAACTCGATTTTGTATGGATATTTTCGGGTCCGCGCATAACTTTTCCCTTGGTGAAAAATTACGTCAAACTGGCATGGGGAAAATATGGCTTTAAAGATGCTATGCTAAATGAAAATGGTATTTTCTTTTTTAAATTTAATGATATTGGTGGTTGTGATCAAGTAATTGAAGCAGGTCCGCTAATGATATGAGGTATACCTCTTTTTGTTCATCGATGGGATCCTTCTAAGGGGTTAAGGAAACCTGAACATACCTCATGCCCGTTATGGGTAAAATTGCACAACATCCCCTTGGTTGCTTTCAATAAAGAGGGAGTCAGTCGCATCGCTAGTGTGTTGGGAGTTCCGAAGCAAATGGATTCCTGTACGGTGGCAATGTGTGAAAAGGCATGGGGTCGTCCGGGATTTGCAAAACTTCTTGTTGAGGTATGGGCTATCGGTGACTTGAAAAGGCAAATTGAGGTTGAAATCCCTGATCTCAATGGAGGGGAAGCTAACAATGTACAAATCCAGGTGGAATATCTATGGGAACCAGTTCAATGTTACCATTGCCAAGTTTTTGGACATAAATCGTCGTCTTGTCCAAAATCTGTAATCAAAGGTAAGAAAGTGGAGGGGAGGAAAGATGCAGAAGGCTTTGTTAGAGTGGAAAAGAAACAATGGCGCGCTACAACAGGAGGTAAAGCTAAAAATTTTGTTCCTCGGCAAGATAAAGTTATGGAAAGGCAAGTCTCTATGCTGGAGGTTGTGGGCGCCAGTACCTCGGGTAAAGAGGTAATGGATGATCGTAATAAGAGCATTTCTTTGGATCCTTCTAAGCAACCTGGACGTAATGAGACAAACAAAGGCTCAGGTACGTTTTCTGTTGGTGTTGATTATGGGTCTTCTTCTACCCACTCTTCCCACTCTACACAATCTAAGACCCAGGCTACTCCCCTTATTGATTCTGTGGGTTAAAAATTTTCGGTTGGCCCAGAGGGGTGTAATACGGGATCCCCCCTTAGCTGCTAACAAATTTGGTGTTCTTGAGAAGTTGGGTGATGTGGAACTTCATGGGGGGGGGCCAAACCGAGGGGGTAACAGGCCAGGATGTTAGCAATTCGACTGAGGATTGCCGGGAGATAGGAGATGATTCAAAGACCTCATCATGTTGAATTTGGCTTCATGGAATATCCGGGGACTTAATTCTCCGGTTAAACAAAAAGAGGTGAAAAACTTTATTCATTGTAATGATTTGTGTTTGTGTTCAATAATAGAATCTCATGTCGCTAGGGATTCCCTTGAGAATKTTTCKTCTTTTATTTTTGGTCGGTGGTCTTSGATTTCTAACCAAGTGGAATGTGATTCTGGAACTCGTATTATCATTKCATGGGATTCACGAGTTTTAGATGTTATGCTTTTGGAGGTGCACAATCAATTCCTGAATTGTAAGATTATCGTTCGAGATAATCAGGAGGCTTTCTTTTGCTCGTTTGTTTATGGGGCCAATGTATACAATGCTAGAAGACAATTATGGTTGGGATTGAGGAAATTTAAGGTCTTGATTGGAGCGCAACCTTGGGCCATAATGGGGGATTTCAATACCATGCTTTTCCCTCATGACGGTTTTGGTGGATCCTCTCGTCGTAATGCTAACATGGCGGATTTTTTTGCCTGTATTGAGGATGTTGAAGTCTTCGATCTCAATTACACAGGTGTCCATTACTCATGGAACCAAAAGCCGAATGCTTCTGGGGGTATCATGCGTAAATTGGACAGAATTATGGCTAACTCGGAGTTTACTTCTAAATGCCAGGATATTATTGTGCATTTCTTTCCGGCTGGTCTTTCGGATCACTCTCCGGGTGTCTTATCTTTAAAGGAGGAAGTCGAGAAAGGAGGTATGGTTTTAGATTTGATAATTTCCGGACAGAACATCCGGATTTCTTGCAGATTGTTCAAGAGGAGTGGTCTAAGTATATTGAGGGATCCTTTATGTTTCGGGTAACTTCTCACCTGAAAGCTCTTAAGGTCCCTTTTCGTAAGCTGAGGAATTCCTAAGGAAATCTTGGGCAGCGTGTTGCTTTTCTAAAAACTGAATTAGACCGGATCCAGATCGATGTGGATAATGATCCTTCTAATGCTGAATTGGGGAGGGATCTTGGTGATATTCGTCTTTCTTATCAATTGGCTTGTTGGGATGAAGAATGTGCTGCCAAGCAGTGTGCCAAAGTCAAATGGTTAAATGAAGGTGACTCGAATACGAAGTTTTTCCATAGGGTGATTAAAGAACGTCATCACTCTAACTCTATCATATCTGTCTGTAATAGTCGGGGCAATTATGTTTCTAGCGATGATGTCCCTAAAGAATTTATGGATTATTATAAGAGTTTCTTTGGTGTTCGGAATGTTTCTACAGATCCGGTCATGGCTAATATTTCTTTTCCGAGGAAGTTAATTCTGTCAGAAGCTCTTGATATGATTCGGCCAATCACGAATGAAGAAATTGAAAATGCTATGTTTAGCATCGGAAATCATAAAGCCCCAGGATCTTATGGGTTTACTTCAAAATTTTTCAAGGCTTCATGGGGAATCATTGGCCGTGATGTGGAGATAACGGTCCATAATTTTTTCTATCGAGGTAATCTTCCGAAAGAATTGAACCATAAGCTTATTTGTCTTATTCCTAAATCTGCTAATGCTTCTAAGGTTACGGACTACCGCCCTATAGCTTGTTGTACTGTTCTCTATAAATGCATTAGTAAAGTTATTGCTAATAGAATGAAGGGGTGTCTGGATTCTCTTATTGATAAGGCCCAGTCGGCTTTTATTCCGGGTAGGAGGATAACGGATAATATCCTTATGGCTCATGAACTTGTTTATGGGTATCAGTCTTTGGTTGGCCCTCCTAGATGTGCGTTTAAAATAGACATTAAAAAAGCTTATGACACGGTGGATTGGAGATTCCTCATTGTTATGTTATAGGGGTTGGGATTCCATCCTGTTATGGTTAATTGGATAAGGGAGATGGTGTCCACTACTTCATTTTCTCTGGCGATAAATGGCAATTCTTACGGTTTTTTTCAAGGGGGTCGGGGTCTTCGGCAAGGGGATCCTTTATCCCCTTATTTGTTCACTATTGTCATGGAGGGCTTGTCTATGATTCTTCGGCAATGTATTCAAGAGGCTTCTGATTTTGGATATCATCGGGGTTGTGAAGATCTGAATATTACGCATATTTGCTTTGCGGATGATCTGTTTGTTTTTACTAAAGGCGATGTCCAGTCGGTGGAGGTKCTTAAAAAGGCTCTTTGTCTTTTTCATCAACGATCGGGGTTAGAACCTAGCCTTGAAAAGAGTGAGGTCWTCTTTGGGAATGTGTCTTCTAACATTAAGGAGACCATTCTTGAGTGTCTCCCGTTCAAGCAAGGTATGTTTCCTGTTCGTTACTTGGGTGTCCCTTTATCTCAAGCTAGGCTGAAGATTGTTGATTATGGGCCTTTGATAGATAGGGTTAAAGGTCGTATTTTTAATTGGAAGTCTAAGTTCGTTTCTTTTGGGGGACGAAGACAACTCATTATTTCGGTCCTTCAATCTATTCAGCTTCATTGGATGTCTGTGTTCTTATTTCCATCTGGGATTACCCATGATCTTGAATCTATTTTCCGGAAATTCCTTTGGGCTCCAAGGGAGGATCCGCGAGGTAGGTGCAGGTTATCTTGGGATGTGGTGTGTAGGCCCATTAAGTCAGGTGGTCTTGGTATTAGGCGTGTTGCCACCTGGAATAGAGCTTTACTTGCGAAACATGTTTGGGATATTCTTAGACATCGTGATTCTTTGTGGGTACAATGGGTGTATTGTCATATTCTTCGTTCTTCTCATTTCTGGCTGGTTCGGAAGAGCTCTAATTGGTCTTGGATTTTTCGTAAGTTGTTGGACCTTCGAGCTCATTTGCGACGTTTTCTTTTCTCCAAGATTGGTAATGGTCGGGATACAAATGCTTGGGAGGACTCTTGGCTGGCTTGTGGACATCTTTCGGCCTTCTTATCCTATCGGTTTATACATTCTTGTGGGTTCTCGACTGGCACATCGGTTAGAGAATTACTTATTAGTATCGATGGGGTATGGCTGGAAGAGTGGTGTAACAGGATTACTACACTCCGTTCTTATACTGTTCCATCTTTAAATGATGCTGTTTGTGATGAAGTTCTGTGGGGGGCTGATTGCACTTCTCGGTCTCTGTTTTCGGTTAGTACTGCTTGGGAATCTTTAGATGGGACTCATCCGATTGTACCGTGGTATAAATTGGTATGGTCCTCGGGTCATATTCCTAAGCATGCTTTCTGTTTATGGCTTGCTTGTCAGAGACGTCTCCCCACTCAAGACTGCCTAATTTGGAAGGATGAACCCCCGGATTTGAGGTGTTCGTTATGTGGTAATTGTATTGTTAGCCATGCTCATTTATTCTTCCAATGTGTTTTTGCTCGGGAGGTTTGGGAAAGTATGTTGCTTCTTGTGGACTTGAGGACTATGCCGTCGTCTTGGGATCCAATTGTGGATATTCTTTCGGATCGTGCTCGTCGACCTAAGTGTTTAAAGTAGAGGCTAATGGTTGCAGCTTCTGTATATTACATTTGGCAAGAAAGAAATAGAAGATTTTTTTCTGAAGTTAGCCGCACAACTGTGCAACTTATCACTATTATTAATAATACGATTTCTATGCGTGCGGCTTGGGTGGATAGTAGACGGGCACCTGGTGTTGCTGTGCTATGATGGGTTTTTGGTGGTTTTGTGGAGCTTGTATGTCTGCTAAGCTCCTTTTCTTTATTTTTTGTTGTTTGGTTGGTTATATTGGGCTCTGTTCCTTTTGGCTTTTGGTGGCTTGGTATAGTTTGGTGGTTAGGTCTTTTGGTTTTCTTGTTGGTTTGGTGGTGGTCACACGGTTTGTCATTGTTGTAATCCCCTTTTTAATTGTTTATAAATTTGTCTGGTTTCCGTTCAAAAAAAACATGGAATGGACCCAGTAAGGACAAAAAAAAACCCATTCTGCCTCACTTACTCTCATTAACTTCTCATTGGACTAATTGTGACGGATTTAGTACCATTATATCCATTAAGGTCTGAATGCAACTACTCGAGTAGTATTTGGGAGGTTATTAAAAAAGAAGTTGGGTTACAGAATTGTCTGAACAAATGTGTAACAACCCAAATCCATACATTGCATATAACACATATTTCATACCTAGAATACATGTTTTCCCCACAAAGGTCTATAATACAAGAGTCTATAACGTGAAATACATAACTCAAAAATTCAAAAAGTAMAWRCTCTTGTATCCTAGCATCTATGCTCCAAAACATAGCTAATTAAGATCTTCACACAATAGGGAAGTAATTCA